TTAAATTAAAGAGCTAAAATCAAGCAATTTGTCGTTCCTAACCGGATTGACTGTGTTTGTGAGAGGCATCTTGTCTATTGATTGATAACGTTTAAAAACAGGCAAAACAAAACATTTATTTTAAATAAAAAACAACAAAAAAAAAACAAAACACAGCGTTCCAAAGATATTTCAAAAAGCCAATTCAACGATATTTCCAGTTCTCTCTTTTTTCTCTTACCATACTCAGAGTAACCTACATATTCTGAATACTTTGGGTGGCGCAAACTAATTGGAGTTAGTGTTTGCCGCAACACAATTATTCAGTTTAATTTTATCAAATAATTTAAACNGTTAGTGTTTGCCGCAACATTCTCCCCACTTGAGTTTTATGTAGGAGAAAACTCAACACAATAAATTACAAAAAAAATACTAAAATTATGACAGACATACAATTGTTATGTTATAAAATTTAAAGAATTTTAAAAGATACAAATCTGTATTTAACGTCCAAAAATGTTCATAGTTATTTAATGTTCACTGGCATCTTCAGTTAACTCTAAGGGGTATAGTCTTTGAATAGGTCTTAGTAAAGTCCCTTTGTCCGTTTTCAATTTGACTAGTCTTACTCGTCCATCTCTTCCAGGGAACAGCTCAATAACTTTTCCTAACGGCCAGAAAATTCGTTTCCTGTCTTCTCTGCCAATCAGGACGATGTCTCCAATATTTATTTGGTCAAGTCTCTTGGAAACAGATGAACGCAAGAAACCTAAATATTCGATCCTGAATCTTTCTTTTAGTCTTTCTCTCAATCTTTGAACATATCTGTATCTCTTGTCTAAATTAGTTTTGTCAATTTTGTCTAAGTCGGCTACGTCGTTAGTAGGGAGGTCTTGAAGGAATGAAGATGGTGTTAAAGCTCTCAAATCTGGTTCTTCAGACACATAAGTCAAAGGTCTATTGTTCATGATCGACTCACATTCACAAACAAGAGTTGAGAGTTCTTCATGAGTCAGAGATGACCGTCCCAAGTTTTTTCTTAAGAGGTCTTTGAGAATTCCGATTAATCTTTCCCAGAATCCTCCCCACCATGGGGCGGATGGTGGATTGAATTTCCATTGGATTTGGGAAACTTCAAATTCTTTCATGATTTTGTTCCAATCAAGGCGCTTTAAGGAGGCGTTGAGGCCAGTGAAATTGGTACCATTGTCTGAGTATAGTGTAGCTACTCTACCTCTTCTAGCAATAAAACGCCGTAATGCTTGAACAAAAGCGTTTGTGCTAAGAGAAGGTATCAGCTCTAAGTGAACAGTTCTATATACAGCACAGGAGAAAAGGACGATCCAAACCTTCTCATTAGTCTTNTTTAAAAGATACAAATCTGTATTTAACGTCCAAAAATGTTCATAGTTATTTAATGTTCACTGGCATCTTCAGTTACCTCTAAGGGATATAGTCTTTGAATAGGTCTTAGTAAAGTCCCTTTGTCCGTTTTCAATTTGACTAGTCTTACTCGTCCATCTCTTCCAGGGAACAGCTCAATAACTTTTCCTAACGGCCAGAAAATTCGTTTTCTGTCTTCTCTTCCAATCAGGACGATGTCTCCAATTTTTATTTGGTCAAGTCTCTTGGAAACAGATGAACGCAAGAAACCTAAATATTCGATCCTGAATCTTTCTTTTAGTCTTTCTCTCAATCTTTGAACATATCTGTATCTCTTGTCTAAATTAGTTTTGTCGATTTTGTCTAAGTCGGCTACGTCGTTAGTAGGGAGGTCTTGAAGGAATGAAGATGGTGTTAAAGCTCTCAAATCTGGTTCTTCAGACACATAAGTCAAAGGTCTATTGTTCATGATCGACTCACATTCACAAACAAGAGTTGAGAGTTCTTCATGAGTCAGAGATGACCGTCCCAAGTTTTTTCTTAAGAGATCTTTGAGAATTCCGATTAATCTTTCCCAGAATCCTCCCCACCATGGGGCGGATGGTGGATTGAATTTCCATTAGATTTGGGAAACTTCAAATTCTTTCATGATTTTGTTCCAATCAAGGCGCTTTAAGGAGGCGTTGAGGCCAGTGAAATTGGTACCATTGTCTGAGTATAGTGTAGCTACTCTACCTCTTCTAGCAATAAAACGCCGTAATGCTAGAACAAAAGCGTTTGTGCTAAGGGAAGGTATCAGCTCTAAGTGAACAGTTCTATATACAGCACAGGAGAAAAGGACGATCCAAACCTTCATCATCATTCTTGGTCATCAAAGGTCCGGCCAGATCGACACCGGACACTTCGAATACAGCCGATAATCTAGTTCGATCAGGAGGCAGAGGTGGAAATGGTACTTCAAGGTTTTTAACCTTTTGTCTCTTACAGGTGACACATCCTCTAATAACGGAGCGAACAGTTCTTCTACCTTTTATAATCCAAAATCTCTCTCTCAGGATTGTTAGAAGAATGGACGTTCCTGCATGTTTATTCAACAGGTGTTCTTGTTCAATAAGTCGGGTGACAACAAGATGCTTTGACGGAAGAATCAAAGGCGCAATGAATTCAGGGGTTTCATCTTCATTCAAAAGTCTAGACTTTAATTGAAGTATCTCCTCATGATCTGAAAACACTTGAAAGTTTTTCAAAGATTTTTTACCTTCTTCTTCATTGAAGCACTCTTTTTGTACTGACCGCAGAAGAGTCTTTTGTGCGTTTCTTATTTCTTCTTGCGTTAAATCAACATTCTTTCTTAAATCTTTAGCTTTTGGTTGGAAGCGTAATAACCATGCTACAACTCTGATTATCTTAGAAAACTTCGAAATTCTGGATGCTAAAGTAGTTGTAATGGATTCCGAGTCTACATTGATAGCCATATACCAACACAGATTTGAGGTAAAAAGACACACTTCGTACGTTCCTTGTAACCTTACGCATTAAGGAAAATCATTTATGCTTCCTTATATGGAAGTGAAAAAGGGAACGATTCTAAAAATAACTCTTCCCTTGAAATATAAATCTATTTATATTTCAATGGTATGTTTGTAGCCTTGAATTCCCAAAATAGAATCTCTCTACGCTTATTCTTTAACAAAGACATTTTATGAAAACGAAAGAGATTTAATTCTTTTATAAATTCAAAAGTATTTAATTTTTGTATTACATCCCCCCCCAAAAAAAAAAATTTTGGTAAGCCAAAATAAAAAAATTTAGAATACTTTAAATTTAAAATTTTTAGGTTGGTACGACTGTTCCTTTTTCCTTACTACAAACAACATTTTTTCAATTATGTGAAGAAGAAAAAAACAATTTTTTACAATGACAAAAATATGAAAAACATGATTATGCAAATTATCTGTTCAGACATCAAAACAGAAAAAAAAATGAAGCATGTTTATAAAATATTCTACTAAAATTTTCAAAAACATTTTTCACACAAAAATATACAACTTTTTATGGAAACGAACTGGACAACAAGTGTCATTTATTCAGAATTTAATTTCAACATTTGTGGGTTGTGATATTCAGTGGCGTACGCAGAATTTTTTCAAGGGGGGGGGTTAATTTTCAGAAATTACTAAAAGAAATTCGAGTATGCAATAAAGCACTATTACTTCTCTAATTTAGACAGCTAGACAGTTTTGACTTTTTATTTAGACAACATTGTTTAGTTAAATTTTGTTTTTATTTTTTAAGTTAAAGAATACAATTTTTTTTATAATAAGAGGTAAAATATTTTATTTTTATTAAAAAGTAGGAATAAATCAAGCCAGAAAAAACTACTCATACTGTAACAGCTACCTAAATAATAACCATATAAATGTGAATATTCCATAGAAAACCAATGAATTTAACTAAAAAATGACTTTCCAACAGATAGGGAACTAAACCAGTATACAAACACGCTAAAAATT